GTTGGAGGCTTGTGATCTCCATTGCTGATCCACTGATCTCCCTAAGTTGGTAGCGTTGACAGAATGAGGTGTAGACATATCTCCGTAGTTGCTGACGGTGAGGTGACAGTGTGAACGTAGAGTTGGACTGTGATTTGTTTTAACTTTTCCAGAAGCGACCCATCCAAGAGATGTCTTCTGAAGAAGTGGTCCATTTTGGTGCAGCCTCATTTGTCCTATGTTCAAGAGATGGAAAAATAGTTCGGCCCCGATAAGCATGTCGATCGGACCAGGTGTGTTGAATTGAAAGTCTGCTAAGTTTAATGATGGTGGTATCTGCCAGTTGTCCGTGTTCATCTCTACACGTGGTAGGTGATGGGTGATTTTTGGAATTACTAGGCAGTCTATTGAAGTCTTGTAAGCTGTGTGTTGAGAATGAAGTTTGCAGACGACAGAGCTAGAAGTGTTCGCCTGTTGTTCACTAATCCCACTTACTATGGTAGACGTATTGTGTTTGTATAATCTTAACTTATTAATCTTAACTTATTGGCCATGTTCTCTGTTATAAAGTTAGATTGTGACACTGAATCTAAAAGAACTCTGCATTGATGCTTGTTGCCTTGATTGTCTTCTACGTCGACCAATGTAGTGGGTAGTACTACTTGAAGGTTTTCGCATTGAGATGCAAGTGTTGTTGTCATGAAAGATGTACTATGATTGGTTGGTTGTTCTGTAGATTGGTCGATGATGTGAGGATTTTCAGTGTCCGATTCAAAATGTAACATTGTGTTGTGTTTATTGTTACACACTTTGCAGGCTCCAGCTTGACAGTCTTTAATTTTGTGTGATTTTGAGAAGCAATTTATGCACATACCTAGCTCCTTGATACTGGAATACCGGTCTGTGGGCGTCAGTGATTTGAACTTATTACATTGAAATATCTTGTGATTTCCATTGCAATATGGACATGTTACACTACTGCTGCTGGTAACTAGAGTAGGGTGATGTCTGAAGTAAAGTAGCGTTTGGTTGCTATTACTATGTGGACTACCACTTGATTGCTTACTATGACTATTGCTTATGATGTTATGTCTATTGTGATGTAGACTTTTGTTGCTAGGACTAGTTGATTGATCGCTATGATTCAAGTCGATTGCTTCTAATGTTTGACATCTAGATTTTAGGAATGTGATGAAATTTGAGAATGTTGGTACATCTGACGATACAATTTGGCTCTCCCACAGTCTAAGTGTAGGGTGGTCAAGCTTCTTGGTCAATGTGAATATCAACAAAGTATCCCAACTTTGCACTGGTTGACCTAGGTTTTCTAGAGCACGTAAATGCTTGTTTACAGAATCGATTAATGATCTTAACTCTAATCCAGATTCCCTTTCAATTTTGTTGATGTTGTATAGAGAAGCTATGTGATTGCTGATGAGGATTCTTTTATTTTCAAATCGTTCCTTAAGTAGGGACCAAGCAGTCGTGTAGTTTACTGAGGTAATTTCTAAGGATTCTATGACGCTGATAGCTGGACCGTGAAGTGACGTTTTGAGGTAATGAAACTTTTGTGTGTCTGTTAGTGAGGTGTTGTCATGGACGAGAGAATAAAATATTTCTTGGAACGATGTCCACTCCTCGTATTTCCCACCAAATGTAGGGAGTTTTATAGTAGGCAATTTGACACTAATTGAAGAGTTATTAGAAACTTCCGAGCTAGATGGGGTTGAAATTGGTTGGATGTCAGTGAGGAGAGCTTCTGCTTGGGCAATCAATTCAAAATAAATGTTTTCAAACGATTCCCTTTCAGCTTCGTGATCTGATTCAGTATCAAGAAGTTCTATGTCTCCTTGTATCCGTTCAAATTCTTGTACAAGTGGTTGAAATAGGGCTAGTCTACTTTTTAATTGGGACACGTCATTATCTACTATTGTATCTACATACTTTTTAAATCTAGTAAGTTTGGCTTTGGTCTGTCCTCGCTTTTGGCATAATGTTTTTAATTGCTGTTCTGTCATCTTCTTTGTGTGCAAAGAGGCTTGTAAAAGGATGAATGCTGTTTGAAACTGAACGTGGTGAGGTTGATAATGACTTACGGTGCTGCAGCTGTGTTAATCCAATCACTGGACACTAAGTCACTAGTCACTGAGGCACTTGAAGACGAACTGAAGACGGCACTGAAGTCGCGACGGTTCGACACGTTCCGACGACGAAACTATGCGTACGTTACGATTGTTCCACGCGATCACTGATAAATAATCCGGCTCGAAGGACCATGTTGCGGCGCGTGATGCGCCAATGTTTTGGTAAATAATAAAAAAACTAACACTTTAAAAACGAACTATGAATTTATTGATGTATAAATGAACAAATGATATTAGTGGACTGTATAATTGAACTGTAATGAATAAATTGCTATAATGAACTAATGCGAATGTACTATTGATGAACTAAACTAATGAAATACGTGGAGGGAACTGCCTCACACGTCCTATCCCAAGCTATGGTAAACGAACAATGTCGCTCGATGATACCCTGACAAAAGACTCCTCCCTCACTCAGTATGTGGTTACAGATTTCTAAGAACTGGTGAGGAAGGGTCCGTCCTTTCGCAGAAGGACGATGTTTATGACTGTGTTTAACGCCGACAAGTGACATGAATAGCAGGAAGTACGTTAGAATTTAACAACACATGTGATATGAATTGGTTAACTATTTACTTACAATATTACTTACACTAAGAACATAAATAAAACAATTAACAATCATGATACTAAACAGGCAGGATAACCTCATTTCTCTTTCTAGTATTATACGAATGAGCTGGGGACTTAAAATTGATAGTTGTTCAATTCTTTGCAATGAGAGTAGTTTCAATAATATATTGCCCGTAAACAGTTAAAATATTTAGATTTTTGAAATGTTCTTTTGCTGGTGCATCATACTCTAACTTAAGCATGATCCTGATTGCTCGTTTTTGCTGTTTTAATATTTTTTCCAAATTTAAATTTTTTGTCCAGCCATACTGTGATGGCTGATGTAAAATGGAAAATGCTCTACTTTAAAATCAGTTGTGCATCTTTAAAACTCTGGGGGTCGCACCCAAAAAGTTGTGATACTGGTCGCACTGTATCAGATTGATACTTTTATACAAGGCTAGTAAGAAATATTTTTACATTAAATACTTGAGAACTGAATACTTTTGAGTTTGATGTCATTTAATAGCTTTGTAATTAATAATACATTTGAGAACCTTTTTTTAAATCTAATATATAAAATTCTCGTGTCACAGTGTTTGTCTGCAAACTCCTCCGGAACGACTTCACCGGTCGTTATGAAATTTGGTGTGTAAATTCTGTAGGTATGCGAATCGGACGTAAACTATTTCCCGTTTCGAAATTCTTAAAAGGGCTCCGCCCCAGTGGCTCTGGAGTTTCCCATGTTAACCTTATGAGAAATGGAATTAATGAATCTTAACAGCTGTTTCAATTAAACAAGTTGGTTATGTTCTATGATGTTCAATAGCATTAAAGTTACAAGGATTACCAACAGGGTGCAGCACTATTATTTCTTTTACATTTATGACAACAGCTAATTTGCAACCAAAAGGTGAGTGAGCGTAGCGAACGAACTTCAACCTGGAGGCGAGTGAGCGTAGCGAACGAGCAAACCTGAAGGCAAGTGAGCGCAGCGAACGAGCTCCAACCTAAAGGTGAGTGAGCGTAGTGAACGAGCTCCAACCCAAAGGTGAGTGAGCGTAGCGAACGAACTTCAACCAGGACGTGATTGAGCGATGCGAACGAGATCATCTTGAAAATTAAACGTAACGGTACTTTCTTTCCATCGGTCTGTCTTAGGGGAAACCTATAACTTAGGCGATACGAAGTTCGCCGGGTCAGCTAGTGTATATATAAAAACCTTGCATGATGCTGTGTTTTACCATAGACAAATAGAATAAATATAGACCGTCAGCTGTGCTGCGGTTAGCATAAGTTCTGGCGTCCACCACTAGGTTTACCGCGTAGTTACAGCACACACCGCTGCAGCGTCACCTGCTGGTCACATACGGCTCCTGCGCTCCTCACCTGCAGCGGTGTGCGCCGTAACTACACGGCAAACCTAGCGGTAGGCTCCGGAACCATCCTTTGACAGTCTATATTTATTCTTTTGTCTATGGTTTTACCAATAACGGGAAAGGTCTCAGTGTATCAAAGTGATGCATAGTTTGTAAAATGAGAAAAAACATCCATACATTTTGACAATTCATATATAGTAACTAAAAAGCAGTACTTTTATGCAAATCACACTATATCAAAGGGGTACAAAGTTTGTAAAATAAGGAAAAAAACATTGATACATTTGAACAATTCATGTATTATTGTAAATAAAAAGCAGTACATGTATAAAAATAGACTTTAAAATACTAATAATTTCAATATTGGGTAGGGTCGCACTGTATCAAAGTGATACAATGACCTTGGGAGTGCCAAGAGTTAACCTGCCAAACCGATTACACCACTGATCGATATTAGCTTTGGGGTTTTGTTCCTGTTCAAAATTGGAAGTAGGTAGTAGTTGGTACTTGCCACAAAATGGTGGTGATAAAAGAAGCCTTTGTATCAATTTGATCAGGTGCGACTGTCCGAGGGTTAAAAGTATACTGTATGACAGAAAACAGTATTTGACTTCAGCACACTCTGATGGGAGACCAATTTTAAAATGTTTTTAGTTCCAAACAGCTAGCTTCAACATTAACATAATAACAGTTAACATAACTAGGATGTCTAATTGTCTACACATTAAAATAGTGTATCATCTACAAAGTGTTATTCTTATCAGCTAAAAAGTGGTTGCCTTGTATCAGATAAACATTTGTGGGAAGTTATTTTAATGCCAAACAGCCTTACATTTTAAAAGATAATTGATTATTATATTCTTGCTGTAATATTTTAGTAAAACCATTGTAAAACTATGCACTCAAACTCATATGAAACCGAGGTAGGAACAGTTTTACCTTGCAGCTGCAGTTGAGCAAGAGCGGAGTCAGGCCCAGCAACGTGTGGCTCTGGTGGAGCAAGACTGGAGTATGCGTCTGCAGCAGAGAGAGTCAGAGCACTGCAGGGCGGAGCAGGTGTACAGGGAGAGAGTGCAAACCTTACAAACTGCTCTGGAGTCAACCAACACTCAGACTGAGGTGGAGCGAACCAAGTGGGCAGAGGAGAGAGCTAGCATCGTAGCCAATGCCACAGCGAAAGAGGTTTGAAAACCACACCATAGTACCGCTAATCCCAGGGACCAGACCCTGTTCAGATTACCAAATTGTTTGGAAATGCCGCAATTGAATTCAAATTTAAAAAAAATATTTTTATGTGTGTAAATGACCACTACTTTCCCTGCAATCAAAGTAACATAACATGATCGTTTTCTGTGGTAATCGTGACACCATCTGTTATTGTAGCAACACCCATCTCCTGATATTGTGTTCTTTTTACCACACAACGACCTTAAAATAGAACCAACAGAACATTGTTCGTAAATGGATGCTCGCTGTAGTTATTTATTCAACTTTTTTATGTTTCACACAAAATTAACGTGCAATTCACAAACTTTTCTTGGCCATAAAATTCTCGTACAATTTCCAGTTTCCCAGTCGCCAGGCCACTATGGTTGGTATTCAGAATACAAAGTGTTGTTTTAACTTTATGCAAACAAGCAGTAGTAACATTTTGGCGAATTTCCCATATAGGGAATAAGCTATTACCGTAGTACTCATGGTAAGACCTGGACCCGGGACCGATATAATTTTTCGTTTTGAGGTCCCTAGAGGCCAAAAACACCATCCGTTCAAATTCATATATATATATTGAATTATTGTAATAAATAAAGTACAACTGAGCACCCTGAATATTATATTTCAGTGACATGTTTCGGACATAGTACCCATGAACTTTTGAGAAAACTTCAAGTCACACCCCCATAAACCATATACTTAAAATGTTCGTCATGACGAGAAGCCTTGCGCAAAACTATCCATTATTTCATAAATTGCCCTTTAAGGTCGTAATTCCTTTCTAAAGGGAACTTTCCATATAACCTAATGTTAAAAATACCTCAGCTGTACTTATTTGTTTGTATTACTGTATTCTGTTTTGTTTATTTTTAGCTTAACTGAATGAATCAATAATTTTATTAATACTTATGAAGTCAAACGGGGCGAAGCCCATGGGTAATAGCTAGTAACAAATACTTAACTTTTGTTTATATTGTTTGTTTGTATATAAATAAACATAATTTAGATTATACAGATGATTTATAGAATTAGACAGGATTTGGACAGCTTTTTGTTACTGATTAGTCCAGCATCTATAGGGGGTTGAGTATGCACTGAAAGTGTAACTCTTTTTGACTTTTGATTGTTGTTGGGGGCATTTTGGAGATGACAAAAACCGATGTTGTCAACCTCCTAGCAGGTGAACAACTTGGGGGGGGAGGGTGCTCTGAGACGTGTTCTAGAAAATCGCTTAAATCTCATGAACTAGACACGATAGAAACAAGTTCCAAACAGCATTGTATTACCAACTTCATCTGCTTTAAAAAAGTATCCAGAAAAAGTCCAGTATCTATGATATTAGTTGAGTTATTTAGCAATTTATTTAAAATTTTGAATAAAAACCCCTAAAAAACGTTAAGTTATCCATTAAAACCCCTTTAAAACAACAAAAAGTACAGTTTTTCATCGTGCATAATGTGTTTTACACGCTAAAGTGAATTTATATGGTAATTATAGCGAAATATTACAAGGTTATGAGAGGTTTCCGATGAAGCGGCACGGTGACGTGGATGATGCCGCTGCGCGGCAGAAATCAACGTGAAGTACAGACTTGTAAAAATTGGGTATGTACCAAAAGTGTAACGCATTTTGACTTTTGATTGTTGTTTTTTGGGGCCACCTTGGAGATGACAAAAACCTATGTTGTCGCCATTCCAGCAGGTACACAACTTGGTGGGAGGGGGGGGGGGAGTAGCATTGAGGCGCGTTCTAGAACATCGCTCATATCTCGTGAACTAGATACGATAGAAACCTGTTTAAAACGACATTGTATTACAAACCGCATCTGCTTTAAATATGATACAATGAAAAATCCCATATCAATGATAATAATTGAGTTATTTAACATTTTATTTGAAATTACAAATTTAAAGTCAAAATACCGTTTATCTACCTATATAACTCTCATAAAACAATGAATAGTACTGTGTTTGGAGTGCATTCTATGTTCAACACACGAATTAAAAAAATTTAAGTGGACTGTACTTTCCTTAAAATAATATGTACGGAGTTTTCAGTTTGCGAGTAAATAATTATAAGCTGTTTTTAACCCTAGGCGATTTTAAATATAAAATTTAAACAAAAATCTAGGTACAACTACCATAGAAAATGCTTCAGTTTGAAATGTATACGGTTTGTATTAAAATAATATTAAAATAGACTTGGAAATGCTGTACTTCATTTTAAAACATAACTACCATATAAACTACACATAAGAAAACAACGGATACTATTTCGGTAATCTTGTTTGTAACGGTCTTAATGATGAGGATTTCTACAATTTTTAAAACATTTGCAGTAAGAGCAGCAGGATTAAGAAGAAAAGGAAGCACCTACAATGACAGCCACTATATAGAAATCACAACTAATCCATATGCCGTCAAGGACATTAGTAAAATGCCTTGCACACCGGACAGCTTCAAATTACACCTGTTACGGTGTAGTGCCCAACTATATTTCTGGGAAAAGTCCTTGACAGCAGAAATAGAGCCTTTCGATCTATTCCAGTACGGATTTTTCAAAGACAGCTCAGGAAAATTGCGCCTTCTTCTTATGACCCTGCCCCCGGCTCATACAAATTTGCTAAAGCCATGTATATGCAAGACTTGTTCTAAATCAACTTGTAGCTGCTTTTCAAACAAGTCATCCTGCTGCTCCTACTGAAAATGTTTTAAAAATTGTAGAAATCCTCATCATTAAGATCGTTTCAAACAAGAAGACCGAAATAGTATCCATTGTTTTCTTATGTGCAGTTTACATGGTAGTTAAGTTTTAAAATGAAGTACAGAATTTCCAAGTCTGTTTTAATATTCTTTTAATAAAAACCGTATACATTTCAAACTGAAGCATTTTCTTTGGTAGTTGTACCTAGATTTTTGTTTAAATTTTATATTTAAAATCGCCTAGGGTTAAAAACAGCTTATAATTATTTTCTCGCAAACTGAGAACTCCGTACATATTATTTTAAGGAAAGTACAGTCCACTTAAATTTTTTTAATTCGTGTGTTGAACATAGAATGCACTCCAAACACAGTACTATTCATTGTTTTATGAGAGTTGTATAGGTAGATAAACGGTATTTTGACTTTAAAATTGGTAATTTCAAATAAAATGTTAAATAACTCAATTATTATCATTGATATGGGATTTTTCATTGCATCATATTTAAAGCAGATGCGGTTTGTAATACAATGTCGTTTTAAACAGGTTTCTATCGTATCTAGTTCACGAGATATGAGCGATGTTCTAGAACGCGCCTCAACGCTACTCCCCCCCCCCCTCCCACCAAGTTGTGCACCTGCTGGAATGGCGACAACATAGGTTTTTGTCATCTCCAAGGTGCCCCCAACAACAATCAAAAGTCAAAATCCGTTACACTTTCGGTACATACCCAATTTTTACAAGTCTGTACTACACGCTGATTTCTGCCGTGCAGCGGCATCATCCACGTCACCGTGCCGCTCCATCGGAAACCTCTCATAACCTTGTAATATTTCGATATAATTACCATACAAATTCACTTTAGCGTGTAAAACATATTATGCACAATGAAAAACTGTACTATTTGTTGTTTTAAAGGGGTTTTAATGGATAATTTAACGTTTTTAGGGGTTTTTATTCAAAATTTTAAATAAATTGCTTAATAACTCATTTAATATCATAGATACTGGAATTTTTCTGGATACTTTTTTAAAGCAGATGAAGTTGGTAATACAATGCCGTTTAGAACTTGTTTCTATCGTGTCTAGTTCACGAGATATAAGCGATTTTCTAGAACGCGTCTCAGAGCATCTTCCCCCCCAAGTTGTGCACCTGCTGGGAGGGCGACAACATTGGGTTTTGTCGTCTCCAAGATGCCCCCAACAACAATCAAAAGTCAAAAAGAGTTACACTTTCAGTGCATACTCAACCCCCCATAGATGCTGGACTAGATGATTTAATTCAAAAATTTGGTCAAAGATTGGGTTTCTTGAAGGAATTTGGCTATTAAAAATATGTATTGGAATTTTTTAGATTTTCTTCGTATATGAAGTATTTTTCAGTTGAATCCATTCAATTTCCTTTGTTTAAAACTTTTAGAATTTTCATGTTGTTTTTTAAATTTGTGTAATTGTGGTTGGTCGATAAAAGGTGTTCAGCAAAGTTTGATTTCATGGATGTTCTGTTGTTACTCTTAAGAGCTTGAATGTGCTCTTTGAATCTAGATTTAAAAGAGCGTCCTGTCTGACCAATGTAGAAGTGTTCACAATCAGTGCAGTTAATTTTGTATATGCCAGATTTGTCGTAGATGTCTTGATGTTCTTTATTTGTAGTAATGCTATTTGTTATCATATTGAAAGCGTTATTTTTTGTTTTAAAATTAATTTTTTATTTAATATATCAGCAGCCCTATTACGTGAACACCTAAATTAAATCATATACCATAACTTGAGCAAAATATGGGGTATAAATAAGGCTTTCCCATTTTTGACCCTAAAAACAAAAAAAAATCAATTTCTTTGTAAACCGTTTTGTAGACATATGGTCAAAAAACACTCTTTACCTCCCCCGTAGCAGTAAACCTAAGCACTTGTTAAATCTAATGTTATTTAAATTGAGAATAAATATGTCTTATTTATGGAAATATTTTAGTAATAATGTAATCAGACAAGTTGAAATTCGCTTAGTGTGCAGGTTTGCTGCGGCGGGGGTATTTTTAAAGTTAACATAACTTTATCTTACACATGCATAACCTTCTATGTTTACATGCTTTTGTTGAAGTGTTTATGTTGTTATCAGGAATTAGTCATGAATGCAAGCTTGTTCTGTTCAAAATTGAACTTTTATAAGTGGAGTTTTGAATTCTTAAAATATGACTTTATAAACACAGAGTCGACTGTCAACTGTATGAACATTTCAGTCGTACAAGATGATGTTGCTCACTGAGAAGGTAGAACATTTGAAGGAAGAGAAAGCAAGTCTAGACAACCAGCTGTCCACAGCCATCACCACCAACCAGCAACTACAGAGGGACAACTCCTCTCTCATGGCCGACCTGGCAGACCTCCGGCGGAAACTCTCTGCTGTACAGGAGGTTAATGAATTACTAAGTTTTGTTTCTAGTTTATTTAAAGTTCTTTTACATCAGTGACCAGAGTTGCATTATGTGCTCCCTTTCTGTATGTTGAATAGGAAGTAGTCATCTTTAGGTCCCTACAATGTTTTGCATCGCTCCCATAACATGAGACTTGTTTTGGCGGAAACTGACAACTTATCACATGACGACGCCAAAGAAGCAAGCACCTTTAGTCAAAGGGTACCCTTTGACTATATTAGGACTGGAGACGGAATAAAAAAGGTACGTAACCTATCATATCAAAGAAGATATTCTCCAATTGTGTTCTTACTTTTTAAATTGGTCATTAAAACCAATGCTCTTATTGAAGCTGGGAGACAGATTCCTATTCTGCAGTCATTTTATGCCAAAAAGAAACTATGATACTGAGACAATGGTCCATTATTGGGGTTATTTAACTGTCAACCCCACTATTGTGATTTATAAACAATTTTTTTTAACAGTTATCGTACTGTAAATAAATGCTGTATCTTTTGAAGAGTGCCAAGTCTAAAATGTTAAGAGAAAAGAGGCTGATAAGATTGAGTTTTTTCAAATTATTTCTACATTATTTTCTGAAGATTGTTGTATTAAAATTAACATTCCTGAATACTTTTTAGCAAATTTTCCATATTCTGTTGCCACAATGTTTAACGCTGTGTAACGTGTGTTAAACTCATGATGTTTTGAAGTTTAAGAATGCAATGTTACATGTCATTTATAGCATATTTACTACATTCATTCATTTAGTTATATAATTTTAACTCTTTGATTATACCAATATTTGCCATATAGCCTATTTAACTAAATTGTCAGAAAATGTATAGCAAATTTAAATTATACTAGTAGTACGCTTATTCTGTGCGTAACGGGACGAGTGAACATGAGCGCAGCAATGAAAGAATCCACCCGCAGTAACTTACCGGTGTCACTGATGAACACAATGTCATTTGTATGGGCAAATTAACCAAATCTCAGTTAACAACAATCCTAACTTCTCGTCCATTAATTAACCAAAGTCATTCGTAATGTACGTAATGGATTTCCAACAGTTATCGATAGGAGGTAAATCCATCTGTGACGGCCCCAAAAATCCCCAGACCCATTACATATCAGTTGGGGAGGTTTTTGTTACACCCTCAGGAAACCTTGTCTTTACCGTCACGGAAGCTTTGCTTTATTTCAAATATAAAAAGAGGGTATGTAATATTGGACTGTTAACCTCCCAGCTTTTTGCGTCAACCAGTTGCTCACCATGGAATATTCCGTCAGCATGGCTCAGCGCTGGGTCAGGCCAACGTTCTCGGAAAGTGTAACGTGCATGGCTGGAATTTGCTGATACAGCTCAGCAAGTCGCTCGATGAAATCAGTTAATGCGCAACTATAGTTTGCCTAATGCCTGATGAATCGTTAGGCAGCAGCACCGCCCAGGGCTTGCACTGACGTCACGCGGCATAGCCGCAACGTGATTGGCTGGTTCCCCTCCACGCCCAACTCTGGGCTATGGGCAGAGCGCACTCAGTTGAGTTAGTCTAAATTCTAAATTCGGCTCGGTCGGTCACCTAAATTATCGCCTTTCCCTCACTCTTCTAAAATGTATTTTAACCTGAAAATCTGTAACTTAACTTTGTAAAACTAAGCGACTCATATCCGAATTGTATTCTTTCTTAATCGTCAGCTAGTATTGGTAACTATTAATAAGTATCGTGTTTGTAAACTAAACGTAGACTAATCACTCATCTTTCTACAGCAAGTCGATAGCTAAATACTTTTCTACTGTTTTTGTCATAAGTAAATAAATTATTTATTCGTAGTGCATTTTCGTTGTTTCATTCGGCTACCTGCCACACATCGTTCCTGTACAAAACGTATTATGATTAAATGAAGCCTATTTCCTTATTTGTTATGAGGCCTATCATAAACAAAATGAAGCCAAACTGAACTAATCTAACTTAACCTAATTGCCGCAGCAAAGTGTAAAGGAGTCTCCTTAAAAATATCGTATGGCTTATAATGTTGATATATAACACATAGAAACGATAGAGTTATTATGATGATATATAATCGATACAAACAATAGAGCTATTATATCACCTAAAAATGATTAACAATCCAATATATGTTTATCTAACTAATGTATCTAAATGCCATAAACGGTTCCCACACTCCGCACTGCTTGCCTTTACCACTTCCTTTGCCACTTCCTACGTCATGGACCTGTTTCCCTCCCTTCACAAAGCATTTTAGTATTGCAGATGCATTAATCTAACTATCACAAAGGGTTCACACACTCCGGACTGCTCGCCTTGACTACTTCCTTCACCACTTCCTACGTCAAGGACCTATTTCCCTCCCTTCACATAGCATTTTTCGAATTGCAGATACATTAATCTAACTGTCAAAAAGGGTACCCACACTCCAGACTGCTCGCCTTCACTACTTCCTTCACCACTTCCTACGCCGTGGACTTGTTTTCCTCCCTTCCCATAGCATTTTTCGAATTGCAGATACATTAATCTAACTGTCACAAAGGGTTCCCACACTCCGGACTGCTCGCCTTGACTACTTTCTTCCCCACTTCCTACGTAGACCTGTTTCCCTTCCTTCCCACAGCATTTTAGAATTGCAGATACATTAATCTAACTGTCACAAATTGTTCCCACACTCCAAACTGCTCGCCTTGACTACCTCCTTCACCACTTCCTACGTCGTGGATCTGTTTCCCTCCCTTCCCATAGCATTTTTGTATTACAGATACATTAATCTAACTGTCACAAAGGGTTTCCACACTCCGTACTGCTTACCTTTACCACTTTCTTCACCACTCCCTATGTCGTGGACCTGTTTCCCTCCCTTTGCTTAGAATTTTAGTATAAAATTAGACTAACATCATTGACTATTTAACAGTCAATGCGAACAATGAATTGAACAATGTAAAAAGCTGCTTAGTACTAAATATATACATATCTGTATATTTGTATTGTAAAGGTGAATTTTAATTCTGTACATAAACTGTACATAACTGCCATCTAATATTTTAAAAGTTATAATTATTATTCTGAAAGTTGTGAAATTATAATGTTATATATTCATAGACGTCAAACTGTTTACTCCATGAATGAAAGAGTTTAGAGGAAAAGTCGTTCTCTCTGTCTAAAGTAGATAACAAAATTGTTGGTCGCAAAACATATACAAATAAAAAGAAAAAGAAGGTAGCTTCTAATGTTATTCTTATGGGACAAATTAAAAATTTATTTTTAGGGTTTTATAATTACTGAATGGAATCGTCTAGAATTTTAATGGTGTCATAATTATTTGTGCAAAGTTTGAACGCTGTAAGTGCAACGGTTCTTGAGTTTTTTATGCAAACACACACACACACACGCAATCAAGCGGACAACTAATCTTTGACTCCACTATACACGATACATAGATTCGTTCACTTTGTTCACTCATCTATTACCCTTTATAACCCTTTGGAAACCCTCATCAGATTTTAAAATATTTTTATATCCAAAAAACATTATTGTTAACAAAAAGCCTGTAACCTGTAATTCATCCCATAGTTGCAATAACACTTTTGTCCAAAATTATTAATTTAGTATAAATTAATCCTAAAACCCCAACATTAAATTATTTTCCAAAAGCCTAAATATTATTGCAAGTGATGTTCCTTTATGAAGAAAGAAGACAGCTGGCTACAACAATGGACCCATCAACATCTTGTGTGAAATTAAGAAATCTTTCTCTTCTCTATTAGACATGACAGCTCCAACACCTTAAATTCAGTGAGGGTATAATCCTTCAGTACAGTAAAATATTCAAAAAGTCAAATTGATTATAAGTATTTAACACAAGCAACAGAAGAGTAGCCTTTACATACATTTTCTTTATTTTAAATTTGTAACTTACTGCCACATCAAGATTTATATTAACTTGTCACTGCGAAGAATCAACCTGGTGCGAACTTTCCATTTTGTGAATATTAGGCTTATCCTACTTCAAGAAATTTAACTTAATACAGACATATTTTATTTCCAATCTGAATTACAATTCAAAAACTATAACTTATTTTCATCAAGAATAATTTCAGGAAAACAATTTGAACAAGATAACTAAATTCAACCTTGATTAATTTGTCACCTATCTATAATATTAAAACGTGACAGGTTTTTTTATTTCACGATTCTGAATCAAACACTTGACGGATTTTCATGATTTTTGTATTGAAAGAAAGATAATTTTGAGAACTACGGAATGTCGAAGCCATAACTTTAGTTTAGGGTTTCAGTTTTTTAGAAAATAAGTTTGAAATGTTTAAAAGTCTAGCAGCCGACGCTAAAATTCTACACTATATTTTGGTATAAAACCATTTGCTTAACGTAACAGCTGTAAACATTAAGCGTGTGTGACACAAATTCAGCTTTTGGTTAATTATGACATGCATAGGATTGACTTATTTACACTATGTGTAATGCTATACTCATTGATACGTTCATTTATTGGGTAAGAGGATAACAGACTATTTAAATATATGTGGTAAAATGCTAGATGTTCTAATTTATTATTTTGAGCAGTCTTTAAAATTTTAAGTTTGTTTTAGTGCAATATAATTTGTTTTAACTAACAGCTGGTTGAATATAAAAATATTCTTTAGAACTATCAGGTTAGTTTATTATTCTGTGATTTTGCCATTGATTATAGGAAATGAGAAAAATTCTATAACCATTGATGTTTACAAATTAAGCCTCTGCCCCAGAGTCTTCAAAGAAAAGGTTATGGAAATTATTTTTCTGTTCAACTTTTTGAGAAAAGAATATGAAAATAACAATGTTTACATGTTTTTATTCATCTTGACAGCTTTTTGTTTACAATAAATGTTTAACTGCTTAAACTTTGCTTGGATTAGAAATTGAAATATTGAGATGACTTCAGTTTTAGGTGACTACTCAATTCCCGTACGTAGGACGGGCCAACAGCTAGTTCAATATTATTGTTGGACTATATTTACCTACCTATCCAAGCCTTATTGCAATATCAATTAGTCATACCATCCTTATATATAATACCTGAAGGTGATTTCTACGAAACACTATTCCTCCGTTAATAATGGACGGATTAAAAAAAACGATGTGTCAAAATTAAGTATTTTTTGTGTAGACGCCCCCTTTCACCAATTCGTGTAATAAAAGTCCTCGGGCTTTGCCCCACAGGCCATCAAAATACCAATGTATTTCTTATGAAGAAAAGATTTTGTTGATTTAACACAAGAATAGTTTGTATTAATTAAACAGCTGTTCATAGTAAACACATATGATATACACAAAAGCGTTCGTTTTCAGTTTCGACAACTGGAGTGGAGTGACCGTTCGTTTTCAGTTTTGATAACTGTAGGTAGTGGAGAGATTGATTACATTATTTTTGAGTTGACTCTTTTAAGTAAACGGAAATTATGACTGTTATTCGTTTTGAAAACGCCTGGAATACTTTGCAATTGCTCGAATTCGAGCAACAGGTGCACTAGTTTTTAATAATTGGCATATGTTATTTAATAAATTAAAATATTTGAAGATCTTTTGAGTCAGCCGAGTTCTTCTCCCTGAAAATATCTATAATAAACTTATTGTTAACTCATTGTTCTGTTTTACTGAGCTAAGCTAAACCAAGATGGTGACCCTTTATTGTTCATTATAATTATCAAACCACATCCACATTCATTGAAATATCCTATTCTTAGTTCATTATTAATAAATTTTTATTGTAAAGAAACCCTTTATAGATTAGTCATTTGTCTTTTTATATATTTAATTTAGGCTTAACTTAGCTTAATCCAATAAATAGTAAGTAAATGTACAAACCTGAACCAAGTTTTATTAGTCCAAATTACAAAGAACCAATAAGAAATTTTGTTACAACAAAGTTTGTTTGTTGTAGCCAATTGGGTATTGATAAAGATTATTATTTCAACAGCATAAAATTATTGTTTTCTTTTAAGAATCAAAACAAATCTTATGATAGTTAAAAGTGTGTGTCATTAAGATCCCACAATGAAATCGTAAACAGTGTATAGGCAAACTATAGAGCTGTACAATGTACATGGGGGTGGCCCTTGCTTAAAACCCACCGTTGTTGTATCTACCTATATACCATATACACCAACCAATATCATCCATATTCACTTACATACACTTCATGCAAATACACTACCCAGCTGTCCCTGATCATCGGCTTTCAATAAATGGTCCTGACTAATGAAACAGCTGGTCTTAGTCGGTAACAAAGCTACACAAGGCATCATACTCCATTCTACAAAGGCAACACTAAATAAACAGGCCGGATTTTTTTGTTTGTTAAAATATAATGGCTCCTCAGGCATGACGTCATCATAGGTGACGACAATAACGCAATGATATTTTTTTAGTTATATTTTTTTTTCAAAGAAAAGATTCAAACAAGCAGCTGATCACAAACGGAAAACACATCACGTCATTTCCGTCGCCTACAATGTGGTAATGCCAGAGGTGCATTACGGCCTGTTATTTAGTGTTGCCTTGATTCTATACACATCTTTCACTCATATTTGGGATAAAATACGTCCCAATCTTAAATGAATATGGATATGAAAATATTAATACTCTTGTGTTAATATTTTCTGTTGAACTCCTGTTAAAACAGTAACAATGCAGGTCCGACCATTTTCATTTGTATACCCCACTAAGGACAATAATACAATTTTTTTTAAATCATACTCATGAGTATTATTTTTAAATCATCTGTGTGTATTTCAGGCCTCATTCAGTCATTCACTACCCAAGATTAAGAATAAAGTGAAAATATTATTCACAAATTTATAAAGGTACTTGGTTAATGGAATACACACAAACTATTTATAATAGTTTTATATTGAGTTGTGGCATTGTACTTTGGGGTAACAGCAGCAAATCAGAGTTTTCTACTACAACAAAAAAAATATTAGAATAATATGTAAAACCCATTTCACATAACATTGCAGGCCACTTTTCATTAATCTTAAGTTCCCACCCTTACCACTGTTTGAATCAGCTATGATGACATTGAAATTTCCTGAAGTCTTTAAACGCAACCATGAAGTATATAATTACAACAGGCATCAAAACCACATACATTTCAATTGTCACTGAACATCACTGGTAATAGCCGGACCACTTCACTCAGCAAGTTATAGCTATTTAACTTACAAGTGTATGAGCGTTTTTCATCACGCAGGTGAATGTTGTGTGTTGTAGTGCATAATTCACCTATGACCTAAGTGATGTAATGGGTTTCATTACTTCACTAGTGAGTTTTTGAAACTTTAATTCACTTGTGATCTTTTATTTCAGCAAGACTTAATAGAAAAGGCCTACTACAAATTAGAAGAATAAGAAATAAACGGTACCGTATCAGCAATCTGACACATACCATTGACTATATAACACTAAAATTACCGTCGCTAGTGTTATATAATCAATACACATACTTTCTCCCGTTAGCTTGTCAACAACCTTTAAGTATAATGGGTAAGCAATGAGAGTAACGATATTTAAAGCGATATTTAATAGGAAAAATCACTAAAGTTTCTATTTTGTTTAGAATTTTAAGGACCATCACAGAAGAGTTTCAATCACAGAAGGTTTTTTTCAAAAAATCCTTTTCTGTTTTTTAAATGGGGTTCTATGGGAAAATAACATAATTTACAATAACTTTTGAACCGTCATTTTTACAGAAATGGGAGTTCTACCATTTTGTTTAGAATTTGACATCCACACATCCAGAGACACACACACACACAGACATCACTTCGAAAACCACTTTTTTGGATTCAGGGAGACCCAAAATGGATATAACCATTCAAAACTCAAACTCGAAAATATTGAGAAAGTATTATTTTTGTCAAAATTTTCGAGTACTATGTATAGGGGGAGAAAGTAAAAATGAGCCCATATACTAAAATAATACCTCTGACGACCACGGCTGGAAAGCTACTGATGGGATCATCACAAGTAAGAGTTATCACCCGCATGTGTTAATTTATGTCTGAAATCTATGTGAAAAGTAACCGATCAATAATAATATAAAATCTCTAATGTAGGAGCTGTCCAGTGAAAGATTGAGCATACAAAAACTGCGATCAGGCCAAACAGAGCTGCAGAGGACAATTGAAGGTTTGAGAGTGGAGATAGCTGCAAACCAAAGGCGAGAAACTGAGTCGGCAACTACGCTAGAGGGACTGCGGAGGGAGATACAGAGAGCAACTAATACACTGGCTGACAAGGACCGTGTCATTGCCAACATCAGGTAGGCACTGCATGCAGAGCAAAAGGCCCCTTACTACTAAAAATATGTATTCCTACAAGACCCACAAACAAAAATCTCATTGTATTCATACCCCCCCCCCCTTCAAATCACAAGATCATATCTCATAGGATGTTTGATTCTTTTATTTCTGAAATTGGTAGTCATATTGAAAATTATATTTCAAACTATCTTGGTATGGTATTTCTCATATTACCAATTTAATGGTTTAATTACCTTCAGTCTCCAGTTCAAAGTAAGTCGATTAACGCGACCTAGGTTTCAGCACGACGTTGTACTATCATCAGGCTTCCAATCAAAAATGTTGAAAATGTTGTGGCTTGGATGTCAGTTGTCGCGGCCGGTGATTTGACAAAATGTACTCGTTCTCCCCTTGTAAATACAGTACCGATCGGTAAATGTGTGTGTGTTTGTGTCTTGTGAACTATAGTTTTTACTAAACGACGTCCAATGGACTGAACATTTTCGAATGGAAGCCTGATGATAGCACAACATTGTGCTGAAACCTAGGTCGCATTAATCGACTTACTTTGAACTGGAGACTGAAGGTAATTAAACCATTATATTAGTTATAAACCAGTTCAGGGGCAATTCCACATCTTATGATGTCAAAACTATTTCTCATATTGTTTGAATTCTTATGCCATTGGCAGCCTGCAAACTCTATGTGCCTACAGCTTCCTAGCATGAAAGTAGCTTTTAGAATTTAATGAATTAAAGTATTTACTCAATTAATTAGTAAAAACATTATAGCATAGTATCAACCCTCAAGTCCAAGAAAAAATACACAAAAGAAAAGAATACAACATAACATAAAACACTATACAAATCGATTAGTGCTTTTATTTACTTTATTGAAAATGTGTTTGAAATAATTAACAACTGACTTTAAAAACTTACTGGCATACTAGCAGCAACACCTGTGATGATTTCCTGCAATTTCGGCTTTTGTGATCATTTCCAGTGATCATGGCAATATCCATGATTATTCCTCAAGATCATTGATGTGTTTAGCTGATGTAATAACTTAAGACCATAATATGTGTACCTATGTGAATTTTTGATCACCCGTTATTTTGCATTTGTTTTGTTGTATTAGTCTTTCTGTTTACATTAAAGTATGAGTTTGGTTCAACTGAACTGATTTACTTATTTGAAAATGTAACATTGACGACAAGGAAAACGAAGAATGGATAAACAAGAGTGAAATAACCTAAAGAAATCACGAGCTGTAGTACAGTAGGACAGTTAAAGAAGGCAGAAATATTCCAGTCTCAAATCCATCTGAGGTGACCAATAGTTCAATTCCCGGGTCCTCAGGTGGTATTAACTTTACACCTTTTCATCCAGGAATGGTTACAAATTTAATAAAGAGACTTCAAATATTTCTACATCTTAAAAATCTAAGTACAGATGGTAATGCTAAAGTTTACATATTGCTTTCACACCCCAGTTACTGTACACAAACAAAACAACTTTATGATTTATGTCCACCTGAAAATCCACTTACAAAAGACTACAGTGAGTTTGTTTAGATACCAAAGGAGTTTGTAGAACCACAGCCAAGTCAATGGCTTTACAACACAAGTTTATTTCTCATACTCAACAAGAACATGAAGCCATAAATGAATTCTCAATAGCACTTAAGAAATTAACTAGCAACTGTGACTTTAATTGTGATTGTGGAAAGTCGGTTGCAGAGATGTTTCTTAAACTTCAGTTTATTCACGGTTTGAATGACATAGATATTCGAGCCAATCTTTTTCAAGGACGAGAGAAACGCACATACAAAGACATTGTTATGAATCTAAAAGTGAAATGTTATAGATGCGGTTCACCTTCTCATTGAGCTAAGAAATGTAAATTTATAGATGCTGAGTGCAGGAAATGTACTAAAATTGGACACATAGCAAGTGTATGCTTACAGAAAAAGAACCAGACTAACAAAAATTTGAGGAAATACCAGACTCAAGATGGCTTGGAGAAAGGCAGTGAGTATGAACATGAAATCAATGTACTAAGTGACAGACATAAAGGTAAATTCATTCTTGACATATCGATTGAAGGTAAAACTGTACCAATGGAATTGGATACAGCCGCAGCCTTCAGTACAATGTCCTATAATGATAAAAAAATGAATGTACGTACAAAAGTATTTAAAACCAACATCGAACTTCAAATGTACACAGGTGAACCTATCAAACCCAAGGGTAAACAACACATTCGTACATTGTTCATACAAGATGCAAAAATTTGTTGGAAAACTCTACCTTATTGACCAAAATGTAGATGATAAATTTGGAAGAGAATGGCTCAGAGAAGTGACATTAGATTGGGCTGAAATAAAAAATGTGAACACAATACAACCTGAAAGCCTTGGAACCGTCCTCAGTGAGTTTGATGAAGTTTTTGATGGGGAAATTGGGGAGATACCTGAGTATCTGGGACACTATAGACTTATTGACGATCCCACACCAATATTTGTAAAGCCAAGACAAATACCCTTTTCCCTTAGAAGTAAAGTTGAAAATAAATTAAAGAGACTTGAAGACTGTAACATTATAACAAAGGTTGACCATTCTGACTGGAGAATTACCATTGTACCAGTGGTGAAGCAATTGGACAAGTACAAATTTGTGCCGATTACAAAGTAACACTGAACAGAGTAATAAAAGATGAGAACCGCCCTATTCCAAGAATTGAAGAAATTTACTCTCAAATGAACAGAGGAAAAGTATTTTTGCACGCTAGATATTTCTAACAAATATATTCACATGGATGAGGATACAGCACACACATGCAGACATTGAGTAGGCCTACACTTAAAGATCTGTACAAAGTTAACTGTTTAATGTTTGATGTCAAAGTTGCTACCTCCCTTTGGAAACAGTTCATGAACAAAACTTTACAAGGTATTTGCGCAGTGCAATGTTTTTTTGATGACATTATTATACAAGGTAAGACATGTGATGAACTCTTAAAAAGATTAAAGTTTGTTCTAGAAAGATTAAAAAGTAAAAACTTTAAATTGAACAGAGAAAAGTGCAAGTTTTTTTCAAACTAGCCTTCAATATCTGGGACATGATAATAATTAACTAGTAAACACGTTGCTCGAAATCGAGCAATTGCAAAGAAGTAAAGTAGTTATTTAAAAACAAATAAAAGTCATCATAATTTCCTATGAGTTTAAAAGACTTTGAATTGAAAAATAAATAACAGCAATTCAATTATACAGCTGATCAAAATGTAAATAACTAAGTTCTCCATAAGGATAACATGGGAACTTTCTAAGCCACTGGGGCAGAGCCCAAGGGACTTTTTCAAAAATGTCTCTTTCCAATGAGACGTCAATGGATAAAATCGGTTAAGAAATGGCGGAGGAGTTCAACCGACAAAGTTTCGTGTAGCGTATTAATTATATAGATGCTCAAGGTATTTATAAAACAAAGGTATCTCCCATCTTAAACAGCAAAAGACCAGAAAACGTAACAGAACTTGGCAAATGTCTTGGCTCAATAAACTACTGCAACAAATTCATAAAGGATTTAGCAACAATCCTACACCCACTCAACCAACTACTTAAGAAAGACGCACAACAATCAGGCTTCAAAATGTGAGAATAGTTTTCAAAGGGTCAAATCAGAACTAGCAAGTGATCGTGTCCTTGTACATTATAATCCTGATTTACCTCTGGTACTAGCAACGGATGCCTCTCCGGTGGGTGTTGGTGCTATTCTTTCACATCATTATGTGTTTGACAACGTATGGTGATAGAATCTTATTTATTTAGTTTTCCTTATGTTTATTTATTTACTTATGTTTTATTGGTAAACATTCTAGGAAGAAGCAAGAATTGGCTGTCAAAAGATTTATTTTGACAAAAGACATAGAGCCACAGAATTAATTGCCTACACTACCTGATGGAGCTCAAGTCCATATAAAGGATAGGAATCAAGAAGGAACTATATTTAAAAAATATCCTGCACCTCGAACATATATAATTCAAACACAAGATGGTTGTTTGTGGAGGAACAGAAGTTCACTGCAAAGATTTAGCACTACTATGCCTTCTGATCACTCAGACCGGCACTGCAGACCAGTCCTTCAGAACACCTGAGATGATCAGCACCTTCCGATCATCCTCCAATGGCGTCACAGCCAAATCCTTCGGTGAATCTAAGAAGATCAGCAAGACAATCCAAACCTACCCGGAGGTTCGATCTTCAGAGGGGAGATGTGTTGTTAGTCATATGTGTTTGGCAAAATATAATGTTAGAATCTTATTTATTTAGTGTTTGTTGGTAAACATTCTGAATGTGAATTTATTGTTCGTTAAGGCTACCTAATAAAGTATTTGTCTTGTTAAAAATATCTTTAATCCTACTTACGATAACACTACAAACAGCACTACAGCCAAATTGACAAGGAAGCCACTGGCATCTACTAGGGGCTTAAGAAGTTTTTCCTGTATTGTTATGGACGGAAATTTACTCTGATTACCGACCACAAGCCACTCGTATCCATATTCAGCCCCACTAAAACACTGCCATCAACATCTGCTCCTAGATTATTCAATTATGCACACTTTTTATCTGGATTCGACTACAAAATTGAATACAGAAGAACATCGGATCATGCTAACGTAGATTTTTTATCTAGGTTCCCAACTGAACATGCTTAAACTAAAAGCAGGGACAACTGTGAGCATTTTTCAACTTAGTCAGCTTGATTCTTTTCAAAATAGTAGTTCCACAATAAGTCAACAGCCCACGACAAAGACCTTCAACCAATACTAAATTCACTTTAGGAAGGTAAATCGGTGGACGTTTCTGTGTACCATGAATTAACACTTCAAGACGGATGTATGTTCAAAGGATATCGAGTTCTAATACCACAATCCCTTCGTCGGAGATGAAGTTATTGGGCATTTAGGTATGGACAAAATGAAATCCTTAGCCAGAAGCTATTGTGCGTGGAAGAATATTGACCAAGATATATAGAAATTGGCAAAATCATGCAAACAATGCCGTTTGAAACAAAATGAACCAAGAAAGGAACAAAATCATCCATGGCTAGCTCCTCAGGGACCATGGGAAATGCTACATAGACGTTGCTGGCCCAATGCAAGGACAGTGGTACTTGATAATTGTGGACGCCTTTAATAAGTGGATTAAGGTAATACCTAGTAAGAATACTTCTACAGAATTTTGCACAAGAGAACTTAAAAAATGATTTGCTACATTTGGTCTTCCTATGATTTTGGTTTCTGACAATGGAAGTCAATTCACTTCTAGCGTCTCTTTGACTCTTTGAACAGTTCCTATCAGAAACCAGCGTGGTACACAAAAGAACTGCTCCTTACCACCCTTCATCATACGGACAGACTGAGCATTCTGTTCCGACTGTGAAGAAGTCCCTAAGAGAAATGGAAGACGAGAGAGGAAGACTAGACGTCAAACTCTTCAGAATGCTTATGCAGTTAGTTACGTCAAACCTCAAATTAATCTGGCTGTGATGCATACTACTTGATGTTTTGCAGGAAGATTCGAACACACATAGCTCTTTTACATTTTAAAGGTAAACAAGAAACTGAACATGTGAAGCAAGCAACACGATATTTTAAGGAGGGAGACAGAGAGTACAAGCGAGAAATTATTCAAACTCAAAAGACAAGTGGAGTTTTGGAAGAATATTGGAAAGGGAAAGTAGCCTTCTGTATAAAGTACGAATAGACAATGGAGCTCTGTCTGTAGGCGTCATGTTGATCAAATGCGAAGTAACGTTACCAAAACATTTCAGAGGGGAGAATTAATGTGTTTACCTAACCCGCCATGTTAAACTTACCTATCCCAAGCGTGATGTATACAACTTCTTCACTTCTCGAGTGATGTAAAGTTGAAAAAACTCACTCGGTGAGGTAATGAAACCCATTTAAATAACATTGAGTGTTTTACTTAAAAAATATACCTCTATGGAGCCAACGACGATCAACGCTAGAAATCAGCTGTGCGCTTGAATTTTATTGTTATGCTTTGTAGAATTTTTCTAACCTAGCTTTTGTTTGTAAATGAACGTTACTGTTAGAAGATGAGTGAAGTGAATAATGAAAAATATTTCTCGTAACCTCCTGTATATTGTCGGGTCAGGTAAAATCTTGTACGTTACACGTTACGCAAGAGCGTGTTGACATCACTTAGGTGAATTATGCAACTCGCTTCCGCTCGTTGCACAACGTTCACCTGCGTGATGTAAAAACGCTCTTACTACACTTGTAATGTAAATAGCTATTACCTGATGTAATAACTTAAGACCATATGTGTATGTGAATTATTGATCCCCTGTTATTTTGCATTTGTTTTGTTTGTACTAGTTTTTCTGTTTACATTAAAGTATGAGTTTGATTCAACTGAACTAATTTAAACTTATTATTTGAAAATATAACAATCGTGGACATATCGTGATAATTTCCCATAACTGCAGCAACATCCGTTATGATTCCCTGTGATCGCTTCAACATCTGTCACCATCTCTCAGGTGAGATGTATTGGCATATTTTATTGGTGATTATTCAAAACCTACATTTTCTGCACCAATACACAATTGACGTCAAATTCAAAGACTTGTTACAACTTTTTTGCGTTTTGCCCCCAGAGGTGCAGAGTGATTGGCCACACCTTTTTGTCCATGCCTAAGGCCGGCTCTGACTGCATGTTCAATGCTATCTACAAATTGTTATTTTCAATGATAAGTGTAATGCCATACAAAGATGGGAGACAGTCTCTCACCAGGAGAATATTATTGTGCCAAAATTGTGTAAAATTCCAGTCCATTCTTTCACTGTTCTTGCTACTCGAAGGTTTCTATATTGTATAAACCTGAAGTTAACTTAAACTTAGTTTTACCAACTTAGGTAAAATTGAAGGCTTTAACTTTTTATGAAGGAATTAAATGAAGAATAATCTACATCCATACAGTACCATTACATTCTATGATAACTTACATGGTGTTAAATCATTATATTTCCAGTAGGCCTATGGTTATCTTTATTAATAAAAACCCATTTTCTCATGGTTTTTAGGAAGGAAGAAAAGGACCGAACAGCTATATTAGTAACTGCAATAAAAACGTATGTGAACCAAGTCAATCTTTCAGGACAATAAAATATACAGATAACAAATAGTTATTATTTACACAATGAACCAAACTAAAACTAATTAAGGTTGAAATCTGTTATGATGCACTAGATCACGTAAAAGGTGAGTACCAGGTGGGTCTATCCCAATATACCAATCAGTATGCAGTTTGAGTAACAAAATAAAATAAGTACAATAAATTAATTAAAATAAATTAAATGAATTGAAATGAAATAAAATAAATAAATAAATTAAATATAAAATAAGAAAATTTTAAGTTTTTAGTACTTATTTATACACATTGTCTGCCATGATTTCTAACGTTTTGGAACTATTCTTAACACTAATTATGCCATACCATTTATCCTATCAGAATAGCGTTGCCTTCATCTAATTAGGAAAAGGTATCTGGAAAGGTGGGAAAGTGACGCATGAGTGTGGGCAGCTGAAAGGCATGCCTCAAGGCGCTAAATACCGTTTGTGTTGATGTGTGTTGAATTGAAAGCTGTAAGGCACATTGAAATTGAAAGCGCACGCAGGGACGCATTTAAGTATCTGCCGCCTCTAGGCAACAAAATTTGCCGCCGCCCCCCCTCAAACTTGTCAACGCACTCCCTGACCTCACTAATATCACCCCAATGGCCAATACATGCCCTGTCAGCTGATTTTGTAGAAAAATAGTCTGCAATATTGCATGCTGCATCAACAAATTTAATAACTTTTTGTATCCCTTCAATGGACGTTTTTTTGCACCGTTTTAAGCAAAACGTGATTCTGACTTGGATACACGAAATGCGACGTTTTTGATCCAATCAGTAATTATAATCGCGTTTTGCGGCGTGAAACGGCACACAGAATCGTCTATATACTGTACAAGGGATCTTAACTTATCTGTAATTCAAGGGGATACAGTACATTTTGACCCGTTAAGATTTTTTTATTGTAATAGCATTAGACCTAGTCCCAAATATGACTGCTTTCAGAAACTGACAAAAAAAAACTAAATTTTAAACCATACAGTATGACTACTGAGGCTAGACCCTCGACTAAACTCTCGAGGTAATAAATCGGGGTAGATTATCCGAGCGCAGAGGCCAATAATCTCACTATGTTTTGGCACACCCACACACATGTATTATTTTTTACCCGCTCAACTACGTTAGTCTCACCCAGGGCTGAGTCTCACCGCTCCACTATGTTTTCACCCTTGACCATAATTAAGTGTATGAGTCTTAACCGCTTGCCCCTAACCTCTAAAACCAATCTGCTATGCTAAGGCTAAACAAACATCGAAAGAAAACATTAAGTTGTAATCTTACCAGCCGTTAAAAGGTGATTATATGATTCAAACTTAGAGACGTTTATTCAATTCAACAGTTCACTAATGATTATCTGTTACATTATGGTAAAAGTCATAATAGAAATACTACAATGTCTACACACCACAATGTTTACACACCACATTGGATGGACTTTCAACAACCTTTCAACTAGCACTGCCGCTGCGTAGTGGCGTTGGCGTATGAAGTAAACAGGGGGAAGTATTCTCTTCGTTCACCACTGCGCAGCGGCCGACAACCCGCTCCCGCGAAGTGTGTGTAGAAAAATAGTCTGCAATATTGCATGCTGCATGCCGCCAGACCAATAGGGCAGCACAGATAATGTTTGACTTTATTGCGTTCTGAAATAATTTTATACTTAATCATAATATTTTAAATGGCTGTTTTGCCGTTCCTGGAATTATTTGCTAAACTTTTTTTATCAAAACCCCAATTTTTTACCCTCAAAATTTAGCCGCCCCTAAAATTTGCCGCCCTGTCTAGTCCGCCTATTCGGAAATATGTCCCTGAGCGCACGAGTGACGACATAGCTATTTATATATATTATATAGTGACATCAATGATGAGCAATGATAGTGATAAACAATAATATGTCGAGATTGACATAGGCCTTCCTGAAAATGACCCGATTTTCAAGGAACCCAATATCGAGTTTGTTTTTCAAAATGACAACGCTTTCATGAATTACAATATTATGACTCCACTACTGATACCAATGTTTTGTTTGCTGTGGAAAATGTACATACAACATTTGAGGCGGATCAAGGTGTTTGGACATATACTGACACTACTCCAACCATTCATGATTTTGAGGGAGAAGAAAAGGTGCACATCGATAGACCCAGTAGACATTTTTTCAAATGTTTTTTGATGATCCCCTCATTGAAATAATTATGTCATGGGTAAACAAACTTTGGATGAATGGGGAAATCCTACCTCCAAACAATATGAGATGGTGGAAGGATACAAATTCAAAGGAAATCAAACAGTTTTTGGGGTTGTGCATGCTCATGGTACATTTCAAATTTCCTAGTGTAAAACATTGTTGGAGCAAATCAGAGTTGTATGATCATGCAATTTTTGGTAATACTATGTCACACAACCGTTTTGAAGCATTACTAAGGTTTCTTTATTTCTACGACCCTGATACAGATCACTCCGATAATAAATAAACTGTATAATATAGGAGGATAGCAGCTATAGTATTAGGAAAACGGGAGTGCCGATGGAGACCAGGTCAAGTCCCTTCTCACGCACGCACACCCACACTCACGGGCGCAAGGGACAGGGTTGGCCGATGAATAGTTGGGGTGGCCCGGCCTTTAATTCCCATTAGCTACGCCTCACCGAATATTCTACTTAATAGCCGAAATTTAATAAATAATCATTATTTACCAAACTACTTGATACTGTATTGTTAGTTATCATAATACAAACAATAATTGTGTGTTTGTCCCATGTTAATCGGCCGACTTTAAGGGTTGTAATAAACTGTTATTATTATTTTAATATAACAAATTACATTACAAAATTAATTTTGTTTTTATGTTAGCAAACCACAAGCACCGATGGAAGCCGGGTCAAGTGCCGTGACAAACACGCACCCCCACACTCACAGGGGCAAGGGATTAGGTCCATACTTCCTTTGACCCCTATGAGTAATTGACCTAGTGTCAATAGCAAAGTACTGGCTAATATGATTCATAAGTGTGAGTCAGAGAATTTTGCCTTTAAGCTAATGGGTTGTTAGCAGGGGTGCCCAGAGGGGGGGACCGTGGCGCGTTTGCGCCACAGGAATTTTTGGGGGGGAACTTCTTTAGGGAGATTTTGGGGGGGGGATATTTTTTTGTTAGCTGTCATAATGAATGTAGAATTTTGTATAATCAGACTGAAAAACTTTTCTAAGTAGCTCACTATCAACACCAACAACATTCTGCCATTCGTAATTAAGATTGCTTCTAAGAATGGTAAAACGCACCTTATCAGACAATCCTTAATATGTACTAGTGTCAACTTTTTTATTCTGTGTTCGCTGACTTTTACTTGCTACATATGTTTTGGTGGTTCTTTAACTCCACCATCGTCAGTCTTAGGCCTTTAAAAAGATCCACTTCTGGAGGTGTCGTCAGAATACGTTACAAACATTTAACACAAAACACAAAACGATTACAGATATGCCTTACAATGCTAAGAGTACATTGGCACGGGCAGGACTTGAAGTGAAGTAAACTGAATCAGTTCTAGGGATGGCAACGATATATCGATATTTTTGAAACATCGATATTCTGGCCCCGATATATCGATATATTGCCATCGACAAATTCTTCCCGATAGTATCGGAGACATCGATGTTTTTGGGTCCGATATATCGGATTCATAAAATGACAAAAAATTGTCATTTTATTTAAATTTTCTTGGGAATTTAAGTTCCAATCGTAAGCCCTTAATTTAATTTTTTAACTTAATAACTTAATTTTTTCATTATGTTTAATCTAAATTAAAGATAACATTTTTCGTGATTCTATGTACTTAAATAACACTTAATGTTCCCTGTGTCTGCACATTTGTAATTACAATAAGCAGTTTTCTTATAGAAAAGCGAAGTAAAATTTTCGATGTATCGTTGTCCCGATATATAGGGAATATCGATATTTTGGGGGTCGATATATCGTAGACATCGATATATTGCTTCCGATATATCGGAAACCCGATATATCGACAAAACGAAAAATTTTGCCATCCCTAATCAGTTCAGTTCAGGTTATGACGGACCGACGTGGTCTCTGGATTGTCGTCTGTTTTGTGCGTTTTCAACAGCTGATATTGGACTATTGTTGTAGTGACTGAGAAGAGTGTTGAAAATATAATGGGATTCATAATTAATTGAGTGTTTTCACTCAAAAATTGTGTGCTGTCCCTAGTTTTATTTATTTATATACCGGTATTCCAAACTCTTCCAAAGTATTTAATAAATTTCTTTTCACGCAGTAATGTATAGAATTTCGAGACCATCATTTTTATCATTTATATCCAGCATAAAAATTGGTTATTGTAAATAGTTTTGAATGGAAAACTCAGTTATGAATCCCATTATATTTTCAACACTCTCCTCTGTCACTACAGTTAGTCCTAACATCTGTTGAAAACGCAGACGACAATCCAGAGGTCGGTCTGTCATAACCTTATTCAGTTTACTTCCAGTCCTGCCCGCAGCAATGTCCTCGCATGAATTGATAGGCCTATATGTAATCGTTTCGTGTTTTGTGTTAAATGTTTGTAACATATTCTGACGACACCTCCAGAAGTCGACCCTTAAGTCTGATGATGGTGTATGTTACATATGGAAGTCTAAATATGTTAAAGAACCGCCAAAACATATGTAGCAAGTAAAATACGACACTACCGTACATATATTATTAAGGATTGTCTGACAAGATGCGTTTCTACCACTATTAGTCATAAAAGGCAATCCTGGGGCTATCAAAATGAATTATAAGATTACTTCGTCACAAAAACTTTTTGTGCTAGTGGCAATTAAGGTATTTTGTGTATTTTGCCCGGCGATTTTTGTAGAAGGCAGCCTGGGATTGGCGAGCAACAAGTCTACCCTATTTCGTGACTCTCTGCCTATAATTTTGAAACCAGATACTTTTTGTCAAAGTATTATTAATGCTCTTAAAGCTGTTT